TCCCAGCTTTCTAAATCTGCCCTGCTATCTGCTCAGCATTGTTTTCCTCTTCCTGTCATTAAAGAGCCCCTTTTAGGGCATCAAGCCCTCCCTAGTCATGTGAGAACACCTGGCCACCATTTGGTTGTTTGAATGGTTCTTCTTTTGTCAGGAGGAGGGAAGCCAAAGATTGCTGCCAGAGCCAACAGCCGCAAGGCCAAGTCGCCAGGACCAGGCCTGTCCTCCTCTGAGAGGCCACCATCTGTGTCATCGGTTCATTCAGAGGGAGACTGTAACAGAAGGACACCTCTCACCAACCGCGTCTGGGAGGACAGGCCGTCATCTGCAGGTAACAAGGGAAGGAGTCTGTTTGTGCCCTGTTGGCTGCATCTATTGGCTGGAAACAGTCAGGAAGCACTTGGTTGGTGTTAGCAAGTACAAAGATGTGAGGAAATGAATTTCAGGGAGCCAGAGTCAGCAATACAAGTGAATTCCTCTGATGGATTCGTACAAGAAACCCTAATTGTCTTAGCCAGAACTTTCTTAGCTGCTTTGCCTTGACCACCAAACCAACCAAGGTATGTTGATTATTCGTAGTTAGTGATTGCAGAAGTTATCAAATAGGGTCTGAGTTCTGTTACAATTTGCTAGAAGACATCTGCAGGATTTGAAGACCTGGTCATAAAAAATTGACACAGACTCGTCCGACAGTTGCTATAGAGTGTATCTCGGATAGCGCTGCTCAGTCTGAGACGATTTCAGTTTTACACGCCCCGTATTTATCCACTCACACTTGCAGATTCAGTTGTAGCCATGCGTTCTATTAGAGGACACAGGGACGCTGATATTGAAAAGTGATCGCTTTCTGATTGTTCTAACACTTCAAAAGTGTCCACAGAAATGAATAATGAAGGTGACAGGTCACCCTGCTGTGGTTTAGCCAGCCCATCAGTCACCTGCCATGCAATGCAGACAGGCTTAGCTAGGCCACGCTGCAGCAGTTTTCCTCCTCAAACCAGCCTTCAGTTCAGCTTACTCTAGTCATGGTACCTCATCTCACGAGAGCTTTCTCATTGACCCAGTTTAGATGCTGCTGGCACTTGGGAATCTCTGGTTAAACTGCCCAGCATCTGCTTCCCAGTTATATGGCGGAAAAAGCCAGTCATAGCTATCTTCTCCAATACACACCTCATGGTTGCAGCATTGGGGACCAATTCTTATAGCAATACTTTGCATGCATGACACAACTCACATACTGCCTGCTCTCCTCTCCTCTCCATTCACATGCAGTGCAGGCTGAGGTCTGGCATCCCCAGGATGGGAATGAAACCTGGTCACCTCTGCTCCCAGCAAGAAAATCCAACACTCTTCTAAAGAGCCTGTACTGAGGCTCTCCCTCCCTCCCTCCCTCTCTTTCTCAGTGGGTCATATTTGGGGGGGGGGGGGTTAATGGTTTGATTATTTACTCTGCTTTTAAAAATATGTTGTAATCCTCTTTGTGGGAGTTTTAACCCTTAGAAGCAAGCCAGAAATCTATTAAATTAATAAAGTGCCTTCTAGAGGCAGTAGAGTAATAAATGCTAGGATCAGTGCCACATTTTTGGGAAAGTGTGCAAGAAAGAAAAGAGGGAGGCTGCTTCCTTGGGAACAAAGAATTTGAGACCTTCTGGGCCAGTGGTTGGCCAGCTCTTTGACCTTGCCTTGTCCTCCTGTCTCAACGCAGGTTCAACGCCATTTCCATACAACCCGCTGACAATGAGGCTTCCCACGGGTCTGGTGGCAGCTGCCCCACCACCGCCTGCCTCCGTTCCGCAGGGCAACTCCAACAGCCAGCACCACGGCTGGGAGGAGGAGCCCAAGCCGCTGCTCGTCTCGCAGTACGAGACCCTCTCGGACAGTGAATGAGGAGGGAGAAGAGGAAGCGAGACGGAGAAAAAGCCCAGCAACAAATGGACAGATATTGATAGGTTGGCTGTTGAGTTAGCCCAAGGGCTTGGGGATTGTGGCTGGATGTCGCAGAGTGCGGCTGTCCTAGGCCAGGCGCAGGAGCAGCACTGTCCCAGTCAGCTGATATTATTTGTCACATCTGGAAGGGAGTTGGAAAAAAAATCTCTTCAGTTTTAAAGCCTTAAAAAAAACAAACCAAGCAAATGGAACCCATCCCAATCCTCTCTCCCAATTTGGTGCTGATACCTTGAGCCATTGCAGCAAGAAATTAAACCAAGCTAATGGGGGGCAGCAGTGGGGAGCCCTGAAAGCTCCCCCAAGGGACTGTAACCAGTCGCTGAATCTTGGCTACTAACACTCAGGGGATTCCAATTCTGTCCTTCAGCCCAAATGAGAGAGGGGGAACGGGGGGCCCATTGGGAGAAGGTGGCGTGTGCGGCTTGCGTGTTCCCACCTCTGTGACCCATCTTTCCTCTGCACACTGTAGTGGCCTGTTAATCCAGTACTTGAAAATAGGATTCATTCAGCTGCCCCTTCCTTCAACCTGCCTCTTTTTTTACCTTCACGAGGGGTTTCACCCATGGAGTCGCATGTTGGTCGTGTAGGGAGACAAAGCAGAGCAGCCCTCTGGAAGAAAGTGTTGGTTTCTTCTGTTTCTCACAGTTAAATAAGTTTGTTCTCTGCACCCATAGAGATATATGGAGGGGAGCTTCACCTGAACTTTCAACAAATACAGATTCAGGCAGCAATGCTCTGGATGCAGGAGCCAGAGGACAAGCCAAAAACAGGAAGAGAAAAGGAATGATTCCTTTGGAGAAAGGAATGCTGGGTTTGCATTGTAATTGAAACAAATTCCTCTATATTGGCATTAGCTGCAGATGGGGGGGGGAGTGGGAGAAGCAGCTGTTTTGAATATGTTGTTTCTTCAAAACAACGCTGTGTATATGGTCTACAGGGTATATTTTTGATACCTTTGGCAAATGATGTGTTTGCGCAAGGAAGGACGTTAAAAACAGTGTTATATGCTGCTTTTCGGTCTCTGCTCCTGTACAAAGAGGATTTCTATGTTGCATGCCAGCTTTTGATGGGTTTGTCCATTGTATGGAACTGTCAAGAGGTAACAATGTTCCAACAAAATGGTTCTGTAATTCAGTAGAATGTATTAACTTAGTTTTTTTAAAAAAGAAAAAGAAAATGAAGAAGTATATATATAATATATTATATATATATAAATATATAGTCACAACTGTAGGGCCCTTATTTGCATAGTTAACACTCCAGCATGGAGATAACATGAACACTTTTCAAGTGAGATTTGTCTCTTTTGGGAGCAGTGAGAGAGGCCAAGACACTCACAGGAAGTTTACATGTTTTTGGTGACTTGCCCACAATGTTCTGTTTTTCCATTTGTGGGTGTTTGCTTCTCCCCCAATCATAACACTTTAGACTTCCTTTTTCGTCATATATATATTCTCCTCCTTTTTTCACACATCATTTTCATTCTGTGCCCTCAAGGGAGCAGATCTGGGGAACAGCTTCTCTGCAGGAACAGACAAGAGTCGTGTTTTCATAAGCTGAGTATTTTGACACAGCATCCAGGGAACAGCAACATCACCGCACCAGAGTTTTTGTACTGTGTGAGTTTGTTTCTACAGTGAGATTTGCTATTTTGTTTTCCTTCTCACCCATCTTTCTCCCACACATCATCCAGTTTTGATGATGAAACTGTTGCTTGTTGTTTGCTAAACTAGTTAAGACACAAAAATGTGGAGGTTCTGTGCAAGAACATCTACTGAGAGAATCCATCTCATTATCCTGTAAGCCTCTACTCCTAAAACACTTGTCCCCAGCAGAGCTACAGTTCTTGCAGAATGACACTGCCCTTCCTCCATTTTCATGCCCTGCAGGGCTTTGCTGGTTGCTAAAGGATTGCAAAACCAAAAATCCCCAGCACAGGTGTTTGGCACAGATCTACCGCCATGCAAACAGCTCTGAAGAAAAGGGCCAGGACATTGGCCAGGTTAAAAGGCAGGGCAGAGGAGGAATTCTAGAGCCGTGCATGGTCTGCCTTTCCAAGTGCTGCTTCCTCTTAGCTCAGCTCAAGTTGCGTGCGGATTGCAGGAGATTAAAACAGCACAGCCACCCTTCCAAAAGACCGCTTTGTGAATATGTACCCAAATTGGACTCTGAAATCCAGGGTCAGGAGAACCCAACTTAGGCCCACACCAGAAAGCAAGTAGAAGCTGCCTTGAGCTTGCATCAGGGGCCTTCTTCCTTCTAGAGGCCCACCTGAGGATACTTTTCTCACTGGGCAAGAAATGCAGTCATGTGCATTCCCCCCCCAGACACTATTCTGTATATTGTACTTAATCTGTCTGCATAGACAGTGAAACAATTTGCTCATCAGCTTATGGGAAATGTCATAACCCAGAACCGAGCCACAGTTGTGTTAGTCACAAAACAACCACCAAACCAGTACTTTGTGCCTGCATGCTGTTTTGTGTCACTTCATCTGATTTGCATTGTTTTATCATTTCACATACACCACCTTTGAGTGTTCTTAGCAGAAAAGTGGTTAATGGGTTTTATACTGAAATATACTTAGCCGCATGTGCCTAAGACCATTCTTGCAAGAATGCCAGCGATACGTGCTTCTTCAGTCCTAGCCAGACCTGAAGTTTTACCACTTTGGAGGTTGTCAATGAATGCCGCTTAAAACCCTGGCTCTGTCACAAGAGCTACAGTTCACAGTAGTGAAACCTTTAAATCTTTCCCAGTGACAGAAGGCTCGCTCTGACAAGGAAAGGGACGCCCCCACAAGCCTGACTGGGGGCTGATTGTGCAGCGTTGGGCCAAATAGCTTGCGGAGAGGTGAGACTTGGCTGGGATTACACCCAGTGTCAGCCTGTTGACCCAGATGGAGTTTCTGCCAGTGACTGTTCTGCAGTGTAACTGACTGTCAATCTTAACACGAAAGCCATCTCTCCTGCCATCGGTTCATTTAGGCCAAGTCAGTAACTCACTCTTACACAATCATCCTAATTTTCAATCAAATAATAACTGGAAAATAGAGCATGTTTTGCCCAACAAACCCAGTGATAGATGAAGCAGCATTTATTGTTTTATTGGACACTGGCAGTGTTAATTTTACCTGCACAGCTTCCCTCTCCTTCGTCCCTGTCACTTCCAGCCACTGCTTTTCTTATCTTGGGGGTGGCCTCATACATAGTTTTTACCTATGCAAAGATAATCTCTGTGGAGTCCATGTGCAGGGAGAAAGTTTAGTTTACCACAAGCAAATAAATCAGAAAGCCAGTCTGTGTGTGACGACTGCTTGGCTTGTGCTTGTGTTGCTTCTTACATCATGGTATACATGCTTCTCCCTACACTCAGATTATCTCCATGTAGGAAAAACATTGTGCAGGGTAGGTCTAAGGTTCTTTGTGCTTTAACCAATATTTACCCTGATCTTTTTAAAAATATACATATTTATATCACTGGTCGAAATTCCCTTGGCTGTGTTTTTTTTTTAAGTGACATACACAGACCACATTTTTGTAGACTTGCTGCCCACAAAAAATTTGTCTTACTCATCACAGAACCATTTGCACAGATCAGATAGGATTTGCTCACAGCTGACGAGGTTATTTTGTTGTTGTTAGACCATACTGAATTTGTGCCACTTCACGTAGCCTTTCCTTGACCGACACGTTCACAGTTTTGGAACACCATCTCTTGCCACTGCTTGCAAGTTGAGGTCATGTGTACATTCCACTAAGGGATTTAGGAATAGCCCCTCCTCCCTTCCAAAAGGTTATTCCCGCATTACCAGACATTGTACATTCTCTGTACATGTGTGTGTGTATATATTTACATATATATATATATATACTCTTGGGTTCTGTGTATACATATTATTCCATTTGTGTGTGCATGTATAAGAAATACATACACACACATTTTCTTTGTGCCTGAATCAGTGGCCTGGCACATATCCATGTGTGTACTTGCACGCACAAGCCAGATCTCGGTAAAACCTAACTCACTACAGTTCAACCAAATGCAGACGAGCATCGTCCCCATTGACTGTTAGCTCTACGTAAGGTGAGCACCGAGCACTGTGTGTTAGCTTCAAAGGAAAGCCATCCTTCATACACAACTGTCTGCATAATTTGTGTCGGTTTAGTGACATATAGATCTCTATTGTGCTACCTGGCTATGATTTTTTTTTTATTAATTGTGCAATCAAGAAAAAAGGAAGTTATGTTAAACTATTAAAGTTTGAAGTGTTACCAACTTTGTAATTTGTACAAACACATAAAAACAAAAAACAAAAAAAGAGATTAAAAGGACAATTTTATTGTTTGAAATGTACAAGGGGGAGGGTGGGAAAAGAAATCTATCTTTTGTACAACCAAATTGTGCATAGTTGTTTCAAAGCAAGTTGTATGATAGAATGGACTGTATATAGAAACTGCTAAGTTGTAAATATTTATGCAGCTTGCTCTAAAAGGTTGGGGTTTTTTTTCTTCTACTGAAAGTGAAGTTTTTGTTCACTGTTGTTATTTTGGTTTTTCGCTCTACATGCCCACTAAGCAAGCACTGTGGGTTTGCAGTGTCAGAGCACTGCCTTACTGTTTAAATAAAAAAAGAGAGGGGAGAAGCTTATTGCCAGCAAACTGGAGCTCTCATGATTCTTGTGTGTGATGTTAAAAACGGCTATTTCATATGACAGGATGGGGCAAGGCATGCAGGAGCCCTCATCACTGAACCCAACCGGGAGACTTGTGGAGCAGAGCAACTGTCTAAAGGAGGAAACGGGCACCTGCTACTCTAATGCTTTTATAATATTTCATTTGGAAGACTTGCATGTTTTCCATGGGTGCCACTCATGATGGCTGTGCTGTTTGTCCGTGACCTTTGGCATACCAGTTGCTGGAAGCCACAGGAGGGCCAAATGCTTATATTAAAATCTGGAAGCTGTGACCCTAAAGAGAACCTGTGATCCCCTCCAGATGTTGGTGAATTTCAACTTGCATCGTCATCCCTAATCATTGGCTATGTGAACTGAAGTTCAGCATCACATAGAAGCTCAGAGATTGCCCAGCCCAGAGCCTGGAAATACAGCATGGAGCAGCTTTAAAACACATTTTGCACGTTCACAATTTGAAAGCTGGTAGCACAGCTTCCTGGATTGACTTTGTGCCTCAAATTAAGCTGTCCTTTCTTTCATACCCCCAGGGAGAATCCAGAAATGTAGGCAGCTCTGTTTATCCATTCTGTATAATTAAATGGAAAGTGTATTAGTCTATACACACTGAGAGAGAGAGAATCTTGCAAATAACACATTTCCCGAATCTGCTAGTGTAAAGTAAGAACCCTATTGAAGGAAAGGAAAGCAGCACTCACCTTGCAGTTATTTCCCTCATTCCCCAACATCCCCTCTGCTTATCTGTCGCAAATGAATTTGGAAGCGTCTTTTTCACTTCCAGAGCAAAGAAGGTCCATCAATTATCATGGCATTCTGGCAGGTGAGGTCATCACTTCTGACACCTGAACAAAGTCTCACAGCTGTACTGCCCACCATGCCACTCCACCATAGAGCAAAGCAGTCTGCTGTGGTCAGCTAGGGACCCACATTACCTCCTCATATATATGCCAGTCTGTAAAATAGCCTCGTGGTGCTTTGTCATCCAAGTAGCATCAGGACAGTTGTAAAATCTCATGCATCACTTTACAATTCAGAGGACTGAAGTTTGTTACATTGAATGTTGCTGCACCATTGGTGGCAAGTGAGAAGTCTGTCCTCCTTAAGGATGTGTGTCTGTTCCAGGTCTGGCCAGCTAGATGGCAGCATTTCTTAAGGCCAGCACTTTCATTATTTGGAAGGAGTGAAGGTAGGGTGCTCAGCTGCTGGCGGTGATTGTACATTTTATTGCTGGCAGCAGAAGGGAGCAGGAACCAAAACCAGGCCTTATTTCTCCTCCCTCAGCAGTTTGCGTTGGCTTTATTGAGCATCATTCCCTAGAGAAGCCAACACACAGGCCTTTTTTCTTTGCTGTAGAACAAGTTGAGAATTGTAGAGGCAGAAAACCAGTCCGGACAAAGGCAGGCTTTTCTGACCTAGCCAGCAATTTTTGGTGCAGAAGAAGTCCCATAAATGGCCCTTTTCTAAGGTGGATAGAAGATCTTCCTGCTCTCCTTCCCCCACCCCCAAAACAGTGCTTTAGTGCTAAGAAAAGGGAATGCTGAAAACTTCACTAATCACAATGAAGAAATTATAACCTGTGTGGCCGAACATGATCCTGTTCCCCCAGAGAACAGATGGAGGGCTGATCCCTAAGAAACTTGGATCGCAAATCAGCAAGCCCAGCCATGTGGGGGGAGAGGGGGGCATGGAAGAAAGGGGTGTCCACCAGCCTAGCTTGCCCTGCAACTGCTGAAATTACACAACGCTGCTCCAAGACTAGTCCTAGCAGCCAAGCAACCTTTCCCAGCTTAGCCACTTAAATTGCAGTTGACTGCACAGCCCATGCCACACATTCCATATTGGAGCAGGTGTATTTTGCAACATAACAGTGAGACAACAGTAGTAATGGTGGATTTATGCTGGACCATCCACACATTCTGCTTGTTACTCGTCCTGACCTGTTATTCAAAGGCTGCCGTTAGGAGGGGCGTGCTTGCAAGAAAAGCAAGACACACACACACCTGAATCAGGGTTTCAGCAGGACACTATGGGACGTGGTGACTGGAAACAAAGCAGTATGTCTGCATGAAACTTGCAGGCACAAACAATATTGAAAGCAGGATTGTGTATGTGACCACCCCAGTAAGATTATGAGCACAAAAGTCATGAATGCACAATGAAAAGGACGTCTTGAGGAGACTTTTGTTTGTTTGTTTGTTTGTTTGTTTGTTTGTTTGTTTGTTTGTTTGTTAAGAGGTATGTATGAGTGATCCCCCAAAATAAAAGCTCATTTCCCCATTGCATCGCCCACCACCACTGCCCCCTCAAACGGTGCAAAATATATATGTATGGTGAGCAACTTTGCAAAACCAATTCATTCCAAGGAATACTAAGTCTGCTCTTCAGACAGAACAGATTTTCAAACACTTTCCCAAAACAAGACAAATTGGGAAATGAAAAGGCTGAGAAGCGGCGAGGACAGCGATGACCTGTATGCTGCTGCCAGCGCCTCAGCGAGACAACATGCCAGAGGAAGTAGGGGTGCATGTTTGTGTAACTTATAAATGGAGCTTTTAAATGAGACCCCACCCCCATGTTTTTTTCATCTGGCTGAGACAGGGAAGGTGGAATAAGCAAGCAAAGCCCTGCCTTGTTAAAGGCACCACAGACAGGCCTGGGGTTTACTTTGGACTTGCACTGAGCTGCAAAATAGCTCTTTAAATGACTCCTTTCTTCTTCCTTCATTCCTTCCATGCCAGCCTAACTCCACTGCAATTCTTCAGCTCCTTCTGCAAGCACCTTCCATTTGCAGATTTGTTCTGGTAATGGTTGATAATCTCCCAAACTGTGAAATAGATTAATTGTTCCCAAACCCTTCCTAATAAATAGGTTCGATCGAGTTCCTGTTTAAAGGTGGACCTATATGGCACTTTCCCCAAAAATACAAGAAAGAAGAAATCTCTCAAAATTTGCACTTGTCCAACTTTTGCAACACACTTCTCCTGCCAAGCAATGTGCACAAAAATGTGAATGCAAGGATAAAGTGTGCATTAAAAGATTACTGAAAATAACATACAAAAAAATTCATTCAGGGCGGGGGTGGGGAATTGCTCGGAAAAGATGTACCTTTGACAAAACTGCATACAAAAATGTGTATATTGGGAAAAGTGCATGCTAAAATCCTGAGGAAGGCTTTTACAAATCACAAACTGATGTGGATACGTGAAGAACTGAACTTAATATTGGAAAAAATGAGAAACTGGGAGAAAAATTGACACATTTGCCCATCCCTGCTCTGAAGTGCTAAATAAAGTGCAATTTTACTTGGAGATCACCATCAACATTCTTGGCTATGATGATGATGATGATGATGGAGTGTCATTTTGCAATTTCAAGCAGAGGTTGCCCCCACTCCCCGCCGGCCGCTGTGTCTTAAAATCTGAACTCCAGGGGGAGCGGGGGTGGTGGTCAGGTTGCAGGATTCAGTTTGCTGAAGTGCCCAGAGGCACCCAGAACAGCTTACGTCTTCTGGGGAAGTCTGCACTGGGCAGAAGGCACAGAAAAGGAGCAAAGGGTCAAGGAAAGGAAGGCAGGGGTTTGAAAAAAGCCATGGACAAGGGAAGCGGAAGAAACAGCCTCCAATGTGAGCAGAAATGCAACACAGCAGCGTGACTACAAATGCACCAACTTAACTTTGTGAAGAGGATCAAGAATCCTCGCCTTTCCTCTGCAACGCACTTGCAAGCACAGAACTTGAGTTTG